CGTCATCGACGCGCCCCACACTAACCTTCGTAGTCAGTCATGCAGTGTATGGAGTCAGACGCTCACGTACACTTTCCACAAGTGCTTCTTCTGGGGATGGTTTACACACAGGTCGGAGGTTGCGTAGCCTTTGACGTCCTTCAAATTCTCAACCATTGGGGCGTGTTTCTCCCATGCCTTTCAGGTACTGGTTAGCGATATAACCTGAAAAGCCGCGTGAACAGCATGAAAATGACGCACCAGGACCTGACATTCGAAAGTTCCGTCGCCCTGAGACGCCCATCTGACCCTTACCAGGTCCGACACCCGAAACCACGCCCAGTCCCTCTCATCTCCGTCATTTTGCATCACAGTGGAAATGGCACCGATTTCAGTCGCACCATAACCGATCCGTAGTTTCAAACCGGCTTCCAAAAGGGCGTCTCCAGTTCGCTGGGGAAGTGGGCCTCCGCCCCATATCTATTTTCCATCAGACCATGCGCGGCGGCCAAGAATATTACGACTGACAATGGTATGTAGTGTCTTCAGGTAAGCGATGGCAGGCGGAGAATTGGCCCAGGTGGCCAACATGGAGGGGACAACGCTGATTGACCTGCACTTGGTTTTACGCGCGTGATCGAGGATATTATCGGGGGAGGGAAGGATGGGGAGTGCAGTTGGGGACGTTGCAGTCGGAGGGTAGACCGCAGCGCACGTTCCGAAGAGGGGATGGAAGAGTTGACACAGTATGGCAAACAGATGGAACGCTGGGAGCGCCATACTTCCGATGGGCTTTTCAACATAATCCCGTGTCTCTGCGACCGAGGCTGGGAAGTGAAGGAATTTTAGAAGACATGGAATTTGTGGCGTATTGACAGATTCAACGTACGGAGAGTTGACCATTGCATCAGTGCTCGGTGAGTCTGTGCGACGGCTTTAGGAAATCCTGTACTTCCTGAGGAGTGCATATAAAGACCGATGTCGTCCAGCGATGGACGTGGAATTTGGGTCGGATAAGGTTGGAATGGATAGGCAAGGGTTTCGAGACCGATACTGGGATAGATGTGTCCCAGCGATGGAATCTCGTCGATGGTTAATTCAAAATTTGGATCGACCGCTGCAATGTGCTTCCTGATTGCAGTCAAGAGAGGCGCAAGGGTGACGCAAGTGGCCAACATGCGATGACAAGACGAGGCGCGCAGGAGCTGGAAGATTCCAGCGGGCGAATTTCTGGAAGAAATGGGAAACGGCTATTTCTTCCAACATTAGCACGATAATTTGAAATAATAGAAAGAGGAACACTTACAATGAAATGAGCGGTCATGAGGCCGACCAACACTGCATGGTATAAAATGGTATCTGAAAGGGCAAGAAGAGCTACAACTTGGCCATCTGGCCCATCACGGACTGGACGCAGAAGATTAGCAGCACGATGAGTGGCGCGACCGAATTCCATATGTGTTATCGTGACAATTTCGCTGGATTCCGGATCGGCGTAAACGTAGAATGAACCCGATGGATCCCTGTCGGAGTTTAGAGCAACGACATCAGGTATGAGCATGGCAGCAGGGTTCGAAAAAGCGGGCGGCATGGGGAGAAAGCAAGCGTTGCACGGCTGTATAAATGCCGTCTGTGCCAGTGGGTCCAAATGTGAAAACGATATGTTAGTGTCTGACAGCGGAAATCAGACTTCATTGAGCGCTGCGGCCCATCGGAAACGCAGCCTGTGTTGAGGTGCAACCCGGAATCACCGACGGGCGTCCAGGCCACCCACCCAACTAGACATAGAACGGGGATAAGCCCTAGGGTCTCAGGAATCAAGCTCTGCGAATTTGTTGCAGAGAAGGAAGGAGTCTGCGCCGGTGTTGTTTTTGTTATGGTCGATGGGATTCTGGCGGATCGGCGAGAGCGGTGGATTTTTTTTGCAGCAGGAGTAGAATCAAGGTCGTTAACTAGAATTTTGTATCGATTCTTTTTTATTGCCATTGGGCCAAAGGTTGAGTTGAATGTAGTACAGACGCTGTCCGTAGAGGTGCCGTATGTCAAGCGAACGCACTCTGTGCGCAGCGGGGAGTTGGTATGTTCACGGAATTCGGAGAACCATATCGACGCGTTGAAATTGAAACGCGGAGATCAGGATTCTCGAATTTGGGAGCACTTGCCGACTTGTACTAGTAGGCTTAGACGGCGAGGGTGCGTGCCCGTGCAGCGTGCAGAAGAGGCGGGAGTAGCACGCACGCACACGCGAACAACGTGTCCGCTCGTTCTCGTCGGGTCCGACGGGCTCAGCGTGCCTTGTCTCAAATTCGAATCGATCGCCGACTGTAGCCGACACACTTCTCCTTGGCATACGAACTCTGTACGAACTTTTGAAAAGCTGAAAACCGGCTACAATAACCTCCGCTCAACGTACCTTGCAAGCCCGGGTACATCAACGGCAGATCGCCTCTGAAATCATAATACAACAGGCTCGACAAATTTCTTCGGAGGAAACGTGGGTTCGACTCCCATCCCGGGCCTATTAGAACAGCTACTAAAGTGCGCTTTTTGCCGTTGAATTCTTTTCCTTCCTTCCTCAAACACTTCCCGGACTCGGATCCGGATTCACTATTGCTTGCTTTTACATGCTGTCGTCCTTCCAAAGTTCCACTCCGCTCATTTTAGGCGTAAACCTCTCAATGCAATTCTTCATCGTTTGGAATCACTCAAAGCTGTATCACATTCACCGTTCTGGCGTACTAACTTTTTATCAGTACGGCGTACTTTCGGCCTCTTTATCCGGACTCTTTGCTCTGAACTTGATCATGAAGCTTGAACTCCACTCTCACCCACAAATGGCTTGCGCTTCCGCTTCGGTCCATCCAACGATTCGAACCGTTCTCCCAGCTAATTTCATTGTAAACCCCGTTGTTCACGGGTTGTGCGTTCATTGTCTCAAAAATTCGGATTGTCGGGACTGATACACTGTTGGTTTTTCGGGTGCGCGTAAGACTAAGCTGTTAGGCTTAGAACGACGAGGTAAGAACACAGGATATTCCGGTTGACTGAGGCTAGGGCAGTGCCTGACAAACGGATGCCCTTGCCAGTAGATTTCTCGGGTATTTATACTACTGTACAAATAATCTAGAATATTCTACAATGTTCAACAATGTTTACTAAGGAGCAACCTGGAAGGTTCTCCAGCTGACTGGTTGCATCACACAGATTCTCAACATACACTCCTCTGTCGAACTCAGAGCTGCTGAAAACCTACCCCGACAACCTACCCTCGTCCCACACAAGCCCGAATCCATCACCGGTAGACAGCCGCTGAAATCTGCATCCACAAATAGCGAGTACATGACAGGGGATATGTGGGTTCGACTCCCACCTCGGCTGTATGCGCAGTGAAGTAATCATTTTTTTTTTGATTTCAACTTCCCTCCTCCCTACCTGAGTCCCTCCTTCCTTTCCACATCCACCCGCTCCCCCGTACATATCAGATCATCTGTCCTGTCTCCCTCTCTCCGCTCTTGCGTCGGATGCCGCCCGAATTGACCTGGTCCCACCTTTGGTTCAGGATAGCCTCCGTCTGGGCTTTCGCGTTCCAATATATCAAACAAAAGGCCATGGATTCGCCTCCCCCTAAGTTCCGACTCCTTTTCTCCCCGCACAGCTTCAACTTGCCAGTCAGCCGCGTTCATGGTTTCTCAGAGGCCTGTGCTTTCCCGGGTTCATCACGAAGCCCGGGTAGTACATCACCGGCAAATTATCTTCAACATCTGTGATCTATAACTCCTACCTTACGTGCTTGAGCAAAGGACAGGAAATGTGGGTTCGACACTCACCCCAGATATAGAGCTAATAACGAGGACTCTTTTTCTTCCGTTACCTGAAACCGGCCGAACATCCCGTGGTCGGGCCCCCCGTCATGTAGTACCATCCGGTTCCCCTACCCTCAGCTTTCACATTGGGGCCTGTGTGATGGATATTGGCCTTTCTCCATCAATTACCCTCCATGAACTCTCACGGTTGCAGCACAGCCATGTTCAACATCCAACGCGTCGCACTTTGCGGTGCGCTGCCTCGGGCATGACCTCGGGCATTGGCTCGGGCTTGCTTCGGGCTGGGGAGTCATGGCCCTATGACTCCACTTGAGTCATTTACCATATTTAGAATAGTTCTACGTATATAAGGGAGTCTTCCCGCCTTGTGGAGACAATCTTACCTTACCTTTGCAATACATCACCACTTGAAGTGCCAGCCTTCTACTGGGAACTCTACCACTGAGCTACAGTGTGTGCCTTGATTATCAGGTACATGCTTAGCACGCAGTCCTAAGACCTACGAGATATTCCGTAGATCACGTCTAGTAAAGTCTCGCGCTTACTATTCGGCTGTTTGGTAGTGTTCGCGGTGAGCGTTAGCTGTTTTATAGGGATTCTTGAACCAGATCTATTCGCTAGCTGCTAGACAGCATATTTCTCATACGCTTCGGCAGCGCGCGAAGCCCATTTCTATTACAGCCTGCCTGATCCACGACTCCGCATCGTCACGACTCTAACGGCGAGGTGATACTCTGTCTTTGAGCTCTCGAGTTCGTTCCTTCGACCCTTCACCGAAATTCAGAATCGCTATGCAAGTACCCTCCGCGTAGGAGGTTCTATCACTAAAACTCACCTGCGGTAATGTGGGTTCGACTCCCGCCGCGGGTGCTGCCGATGAAGCGTGCAATTTTTTTTATCCATTCAACTCCTTTTCCACCTCGCGCCATCTCTCTTCCGATTCGCTCCGCATTGTTACACTCTGCACTTCGGGCGGGACTCAGATGAGTCAGATCAACCGACACAATCAAAGATCCTCTAGTCTAGTAGACGGCTCACCAGTAGGCTGATAATGCTGGCCGATTTCAACTTGGCCCATTGGGTCAAGTTTTTAATTTCAACCACATGAATAAAAGAAAATCAACTCGAGGCCTGAACTTAGTTGGATTCTTCGCGCTCTTTGATCCTCCTACTCGTTTGCAATTCAGCTAACGATAAGTCCGGGTACATCAATGGTAGATCACCTCCACTTCATTTGTGATTCCCCAACAAAGAAATGTACATCGGAGGAAATGTGGGTTCGACTCCCACCCCGGGCTTAAGCCGGATATCCATGTCCTTTTTGATTTGACGTCCCTTTCCTATCTCTCTCTTTATAAAATTGAGCGTGTCTGAAGCCTTTAAACTCCGACCGCATGTTTCCGACGGCTCCCAAAGGCACCGCTGCAGTGACTTGGTCGAAGTGCCGGGACCGCGAAGCCGGCGCGCTCTTAATACTAAAATTTGTCCTACTCGGCCTCCTACTACACCTCCTACTTGTCTCCTACTTGCACTTTTGACTGTAAAATAGCAAAAATGGACACAGTAGGAGAACAAGTAGGAGATTGGTAGGAGCATATTTGAAACCCACCCCCAGCCGTTTTACAAGTAGGAGAAAAGTAGGAAGACTTTCCTACTCTAAAAAACGCCAAAACGCACTCAAAATGGAAGTAGGAGAGGGAGTAGGAGCACGAGTAGGAGATTTTTTTTGCAAAAAGGGGCTCTGAAACTCCTTCTCGGGGTCCTACTCGACCTCCTACTCATGCTCCTACTTGATTCAGGACGATGAGTAACTTAGGAATGAGTAGGAGGCCGAGTAGGAGATATTTGAACGGCACTATTATTGAAGTCCGAGTAACTCAACAGTAGATTCACCCAGGGGAATGTGGTTCCGACTCCCACCTGGTCATGGTGGTTTGAGAGAAAGTTTTTTTAGATTCCTTCCTTGCTGATTTCCCCCGCTCCGGACTCTGTCTCAGTCACGTCGATTGTAGACCCCCTGATTCAGTTACCTTCGTAATATCAGGCCACAACATTCAATCCCCCGAACTCACCTCCGGCGTACACTGGCCAATTCGACATACACTGGGGGCAGAGCCCCACGCATGTCGAAACGACATGCGTGGTTCGCATGTCGCTCGTATGTGCTACAACGCATGTCGTTTCGACATGCATGGGGCTCTGCCCCCAGTGATATACAACTGTGCATCATACGAACCTCAACTTTAAGCCCTTGTACATCAAAGGCCTCAGGTAGCCAAATTTAACGGGTCTCCACTATTTTTTTCTCTTCAAAATCCTTTTGTGTTTGTCTCCGTCGGGCCCCAGTATATTAAAATAAAAGGCGTGTTTTGTCCCAGAGTTTCAGGAATTATCTTGGAATTATCGTCAAGTTTTGAAGCAAGGAGAGAACACACGAGGTTATGTGCCTAGTGGCTACCATGTTACAGTAACAGTTATAAACACCCTTCTTATCCGTCGGAGAACCCGCCTTAAGCAATGCACCTTTTCCTTGCTAGGACCTTGCGGTGTCATGTTTGGCCAAGCTTGGCCCCAGCTTAACGCGCGTCTCATCACGTGGTATCCATTTTGTTTGTCACCTCTGACACGCCTGGGTCCCCGTCCACGGCCATCTGTGTACTCCTGCCGATCCGTAAACACACACGTCTAAACCTCATGTCTCTGGTACACATCGCATCGACGATCAATGGCAATGGCATAACTTCTCATCTCAAGCCTGAGTGTCGGGAACGGCCTGTTATCTCGTCAACTCGCTGCGTTTTTCCTCGTTTGTCCCACCATTCACTCATGACCAAAGTGTTTTCTAAGCGATTGAGACGGTCGGCGGTGAAGTACCTGGTCTAGCGCTAATATGGTCCAGGGCCAAGACCTGCCTTCAGTTAGCCAAAGGTATCGCGGCGCACTGAGATCATTTTCTCTGCCGACAAGGCCGTGCTTAGCTGCTTGAATAAGGTTTAAATTGTGTGATTCATCATTTGACCTAGGATGTTTAACGCGTGCTTGGTCGTCTGTTGTTTTGAGCGCCCTTGAACGGTGCTGGATAAACGAAGTCAGATAAATCTACTGCTTGCCCATTTTAAATTTAACCTTGAATGCAGTATGCAACAAAGGTGCAATGTCTCGACTTCTTAGCGGAAGGTTAGGGAAGGTGTGGCTCATCCAATTACATCCGGGCACACTCACCGCTCGGCTATGTTTGTCTAGCCTCCCACGCCGGTTTGAGCACGTTCTCGACTCGCCTCTAATTGACTTTGATATGACAGCCAAGACAGAAGGTAAATGTGATCTAGGTAACTGCGTAAAACTGCGCTCAGTGGAACGCAGAAGTCCCTGAATCTCAGATCTCCAGCGTTTCGCCATTCAACCCAGTATTCAACATTCAAAATTCAAGTTGCTCGCTGAACGAACTCAAATTTAGGGATGAAGGATCTCGACCCAGCGTCACGCACTCTGATTGGCGCCTAAACTTCATTACTTGGACTACGACCGCTCACATCTGTCAAAAAGATCAGGAACGCGTTGAACCGAGGACAAACAAAAGTGATAAAGATCTCTTATGTTAAATTTCTTGTTGAAATCTATTGATGGTATTTGCGTAATTAGGTTTCTCTGGTCGCTATTTAACAGCACGTTCCTCGCGTGCGCCGCTAGCGGTTGTCCTAACACCCACAAAAATGCCCCTTCGCGCTCTTGGCCTTCTCTTTTTTTCCGCTCTCGCGTATGCGGCTGAGAACGGCACCGACAGCATTGAGAATGTTCTCCTACCTCTTTCACCCATTGTAGCAGGAAGCTTCTTGACTTTCTCGTACTTGTTCAACATCGGAACGGTCGGCCATGTGGTGCGTTGTCTTCCGGAGGGGCAGTGGACTCAACCTGACCTCTATGCCAATTAGCTACGAAACATCACCGCTGAATTGATGGTCGGAAATGACACAAGTATGTAGAAGCCAAGTCCAGAGCGTGAATTATCGCTGAGTTTTATGGGCAAGCCGGCCAGGATGTAGCAGACATCATTTGTACGCTTTCTGTGACGACACACACGTCCTCTCTCTGACGCTCTCGGTTCCAGGGGATCATGGAGCGGACCAAGACCCCGTTTTCTCATTTGATTTTGGTTGGTTCTCCGATGCTGCGGTAAGCTGAATTTCTGTCGCCAGCCTCCAGTTCTATTCTGAACGTGTAAGCAGACTCCTGAAGGCAACTACCATATCCGCTTGAATGGCTCGGTCTTCGACAATCTCTCTTCGCCCCCAGGGTCCCCGGGAACCCCTACAGGCACCAATCTTACCTTCCGCTCTACACCATTCATAATGTCCACAACGCCGTTCGCCTGCACCACGCCGACCTTCACACCGATCGTCAGCCTCGCGGATCCGAATTATAACCCCCTTCAACTTGGGATGCCATCCGCAGGGCAAGTTTTTTTCTTGTCTAACCTGAGCACTATTGGCAACATCCAAGTCGCCCCTAACTTCATTGACGACTCGTTCAATGTAAGTGCCTACCGAGTAAAAGTCTGACACGACATCTTGACTCACGCTCGTGTCCACAGTACGGCACCAATCCGGTTCCACAAATGACTATGGAGCTGGTCGAGTCCGCGACTCTCAAAAGTGCAGGATTCGCGACCATAGTGCGCTACTATTTTTTCATCGCAAGCCATTGAATTGACATGTATCTTCTCAGAATAACACCCAAGCAGCGTATCAATACCTTCCTACGGATAGGTTCACCTTGACCGCCGGCGCGTGGAAGGTAAGTCCTGGGCACATTATACAACGGATACAGTGACTTACCTGCAAACCAGATCCGCGCCAACTGGACGAGCGGCAACCACGGAGGAAACTTCACGACGTTATCCGACGAGTTCTACATTGCCACGAGTGGGCCTTGTGTTGGTTTGCAAACGGGCCAGTCCACAACTGGAGGAGGTTCGACATCCTCCGGTTCCGGGTCGACGAAACCGAGCGGAGCTCTGAGCTCGTCCGGCATATCGTTCGCTACCTTGTGCGTGTTGGTGCTCACTCTAGTCGCTGGGACAGTCGTGGCGCTGTAGGGTTCGCGTCAGGTACGAATGGGCATAATCCCGCAGCGCCCCAATATGCAGAGGTTATTTTTCTTGTTGGGTTTTTGGCGGGTTAATCAGATGTTTGTACGTCGGACATCCCGCTTTTTAATGAGGTCTTCGCGAATACAAGTTGTATGCGAGCTTCGTCGGTATTGTTGGTTACAGTAGTTGGATCTCGTGGCACAGATGCTAGTGCGCCCCATGCGCAGAGATCACACCGCTATACATATTTTGTCGCGCTACATTTCTGCAGTTAAAAGGCTTTCGCGATATATATTACAATTACACTGAACCAAATTATGTTCTGAATGTCTATACAGCCTGATTCCGTTACAGTAGAACTACACCTGCCCTCGTTGTAGAGCGCTGACCGCGAGCGGCAACTGGATGCATAGAGCTTGAGTTGACTTCCCAACCCAGATCAGGTCTCATCATCGTCGCCAAAATGCGAGTTGGCTCCGGACAGCGGATAGCGGGCCTGGACAGCACACAGGCCGATCAGTACCAGTTCGATAGTGGGAAGGGATAGATAGATACGTACCGAATATAATAACGGGGCCCCAGCCCGCCAGCAGCAACGCAACATGCTGTGTTCCGATCGCAGCGGGCACTGATCCCTTTCTTGATGAGGAGATTAGATCGATAATGGGCGTTATGGAGGAGAGGAGGTGGATGGCTATAATCGCGCTACCGGACGGGACGTTGGTTAGTATTCCGCTACTCTATCCGCGCCGTACCGCATCCAAAATCGCTTTTGCTCACTCACAATTGAAACAAGATGAGACTGCGAACGAGAGACGGAAGTTCGGAGGGATTACGGTGCTCTGAGACTGGAGGTTCAGTACCTGCGAAACCCATTCGTCAGAGGTGAATCACATTAGAGCGGGACGAGCGCCTCACTAATTTCGGAGGTGGCGGATGTCTCGGTGTCGCCAGAATCATAACGAGAGTGGTCAGTGTTATTGGAGAAGTCCTCCAGTTCATTCCGCAGACCGAACGCGAGTTGTGTGATTGAGATGCGATCGCTGTTGTGGATGGAGCGCGTGCTCCTTGTAGTGCCGTCCCGACTGCCAACTTGAGATCGCAAGGGCGTCATGATATCGTCCTCCTCCGTGCCCTGACTGAGCATCCGCGGAGTCGATTTGCTCTTGCTCTCCATCTCGGCAAAGGACACGCTCGAGATCGTGTCGA